GGAAAATCAAAATCAACCAAAACAATAAGAATACATTTTCCTCATAAAAGCTGAAAAATAATGGTCTACAGTTAATCTTACCAAAATTACCTAATCATTTCTAGAAGTGACTTAAACACCAAAACCCAATTGTTCCATCGTACAAACCAAATTATTGAATTGACAGTGTAATAACAAATTTATAGGCACTTGATACTGACGGGCACATATATATGCCCTGTTTAGTAGGGATTAAAATTAAAATTTTAATTTAAATCAAAATTAATAATTAATTTTAATCACGTATTTCATAAATTCACAATTTTTTAATCACATATTTATTATATTTTATAAAATATATTAAAATTTTAATTTTAATCTCCATCAGGCTAACTTTTGTGCTTAGAAAAGTGGTAGCTACTCGGCTGCGTACAATCTAAATTGGAATTGGAAGAAAACGACAAAAACAAGATCTTCACAAAATCTTTAATTTCCTAATTTCACTTTTTACCCACAATCCATTCTCTTTTCTCAAATTTTACTTTTAAGAGATTCTACGTTTGAAGTGCATGTTTAGCATTCATAATTAATAAAATTACTTTTTACCAATACAACTTTCAGTCCCTACAATATCACCACTCAAACTACCATCTCGAAGTATAAATCATGGAAAATTCAAAATAATATGACTCAAATACACCATGAACCCTTCCTTTCCCACCTCCCACGATCACAAAATTAACATTGTCATTGTTAGACGTGTCTTCTCCCCATGGATACATCAGCACCAACCCTTCTTGAATGCGATTGTCGATTATCTTTCCCGTATCATATTACTCTACTGAAATGCCAAATTTCCTATTCAAACATTAAAGAATTTACAGAATACATGTAAAGGCAGAGCTGATGAGCATCGATTCAGTTTTGCTATGAATTGAACAAATTCGAAGTCGTCAAAAGACAATCGTGCTGCATGCACATTATCATTTACACTTTGGCACGTGACAACATACCTTTGTACGGTTTAAAAAATAAACAATTTTTCATTCAATCTATTTTTAACAACACGTCAAATGTCAAAGTAGGTGTACATTTGGAGTGTATATTTAGCATTTTTAAAGACAAAAACCTCAGCAACATTTATTATTCATTCGTGCACTTGCTCTATTTGTACAAATTGACTATTGAATTTGAAAGAGTACCTTTTCTTCTTGTGTTCAGTTTTTCAGAGACCAACTTTAATTCAAAATTATACTTTATTATATAAAATTATAAATGTACAATTTTTATTAATTTTAAAGATTCGCAAGTACTATTATTCGTGATATGACTTGAAAAAGTAAACTTTTTTTAATCATTGCTATTTACCAGAAAGTGATAACTTGCTTTGTACATGGGCCGCATGGCGGGTCCATGGCCCTTTAACCGATGCACCAGTTCACTGTGTTTATGGAGCCTCAAGCCTAAATGTAAAAATTAAGGCTCAACATTTTGAGTCCTCAACTTTCAAATGAGAAGTTATGGGCCCTCAACATATTTTAAATCTGTGACTTTGAGTGTTTTCATGTCTGTCCCGAGAATTTTGAGACCCTAAATTATTGCGAGGTCCCAAACATTTTTTTACAAGCATAGCAATCACTAACTATTTTTTTACGAGCACGATCTCTCGTGATGACGAATATTATGCAGATGGTACTCACTAACTATTTGATTCGAGAAGCAATTCTTGAATTCAAGAAATAGAACACAAAGGGCTTCTAGAACCAGTGATGTATGTGGATGGTGACCACCATTTATTGTCCAAAATGTTCCATATTTTTAAAAAGTAAAAAAAAAAAAAAAATCAAAGGCAGCAATCAAATATGAAGAATAGAAATTAATCCTGAATAATTAAAAAAAAAAATCATTTATTAGGTAGGAGGACAACCTTTTGCTTATATTTGCACTACTACATGTTCAAGAAAATATTTAAGAAAAATTCCTCAAGTACATTAATTTTTCCCAGAATTTTGCAATGAATCAATCCCATCTGTGTGTATTTTTCATCCTCCAATCTTTCAATCATTTCCTTTCATTTCAAATTCCTGTATGTTTTTTGTGAAAAAACCCTGTACTCATAGCATGGTTCAATATTTAATGCAAGAAAACATTTGCTCTACAAGGAAAAAATGTCATAATTGAGCTTTTAATCCTTTTTGAGGCTCAAGGCCACTGTCTAGGTAGCCTTAGGCCATGACTAGACTTGAATGTTCTCGTGACAAAATATTGACGTAGACGTTAAAATTGCACATAATTAGTTGACTGTATTATGGTCATGTTTTAGGATATAGCAACAAAATTTGCCTACTAAAGATTCAAAACATCTAGTAAATTATTTGGATCTATCACTTTGTCTTTGAAGTAGTTTGGGTAGCTTCCAGGTACACACCTTTCTCCATAAGGAAGAGAATCCAATGCTGCTTTTTTTTTATTTATCTATTTCTCAGCAAATTTCCTTCTCACCATGGAAGAGTATCCAATGCTCCATTTCCCATTGTATGCTATAGAAATATGTTCAATTATTTGAACCTAGATACTTAACAGAATCATTATAATTATATAATCGGGTAAGCAGATATGATTAGACACGATAACAAATATATATATATATATATGTATGTATGTATGTATGTATGTATGTTACATAAGTCTGTTTTCTTTATAAACATATACCAGAAAATGTTAACAACGTACAAAACGTGTCCTTAGATATACGTCCATGTTCAAGTCTTGAAATTGCGAATTGTTAATGTAACGTATGGAAACTTAGTGAAAATAATGCATATTTTTGGGAATCCTAATGTTTTTTTAGTTAGCTTATTAATATATTTATATCATTGGATTATACGGTACAAAAGTTGACGGTGTCATACTAAACGGATAATATGATCATATATTTAGTAATTAAAGAAAGAACAAACAAAACGGTAACAATAGCAACGAAAATAAATCGTAGCAAATCCATGCACGTGTAACTGTTTTTACACAGTATTCTTAAAACAAATTCGTCTTCCTACCCTAAGTGCTAGAAATTTCGTTGTGTCTTTCAAAAAAAACAATGGATATAGTCTTTTACATAAGTCTGTTTTCTTATATTTGTATATGGTCTTTTACAATT